ATTAATTATTGGGATGGACAATTTTGCTGTTACACCCAGTAGATATACATCAGGCCCAACTGGACTGGGAAGTTTTCAAATTAATTTTAGCTCAAGCCCGAGGAGGGGTTATCCTCCCATGCAATATTTCTGCTTAAGGAGAAGGCTGGGGTCATTACCTCGTACTTGAGTTATTGCTGAAGGGTCTTGAGCAATTTTTCTGAAAACTGATATAAAACATGACCTTGTATCAAATTTGTTTGGCATGGACATATAAATAAATCCAATGCATATACATTTTAGGACACATTATATCTAACAGTAACCATACATCAATGAGATTTTTTACGACTGTCTCATTAAGTAAAGAAGATTGGTGCATAGCCAATTTTTGGCAACTATGAGCCTGTTGTGTTCTGTTCACCAGAATACAAGCCCAATTTTTTTTTTCCAAAATTAAATAAATAAAAAAGTAAAAAGAAAATGTTTCTGGGGAGCTGCTTTGCACCTTAATTGGCATGAGAAAGTGGAGGTCAAAGGTAAATTGATAATTGGTTGCCTATTTTAAGTTTAATTTTTTTCTTCTTCTTATAATATCGGATAATTGCGCAGTAAACCCATTGCCAGAGAATATTTCAGATAATGATTTTGTTATATTTTTGTTTTCTATAAAGCATTTTCCCAAAATTTCCACTTTAATTGGTCTCCATATTTGCTTCTTGGCTTTGTAGACTTCAGATTATAATTCAACCGAAGCAGGAAATGTCAAGAAAATAGAATTTATAAAACTTAATAAAAACCAGGCAGACTGGGTTCTCAAGCCTGAGTTGGCCGTCAGTCAACAAAGAAAGTTCCAAATTGGAAAAATTGTAGAGAAAGCAATGGAAAAACACATCACTATCTTTTGAAAGATCAATCATCTGAATGCACAGTTTATAGATAGTAAAAGAAAATTATGCAGAGTCATGAGTGCGTCTCTCCTGAAAGGGCATAGCACTTAGGATTGATTAATATGTTTATTTTTTATGGCATATTGGCCCTTTGTGAGTTATTTAAAACTGAAACATATTTCAGATTGTAGGAGGTTGCTTACAGCAGCTGATCTTCCCAAGTAGTCCCCATCTAAGTAATGACCAGGAGTGAAGCTGCTTAACTTTAGTGATCAATCAAAAACATCTATTTTCAGTGTCATTTGATCATAGGATAGTACAGGAAGTGGGGTTGGTAAGAATAGATATTATCAGATTTTATTACACCAGTCAATACTTTTTGACTAACACTGGTATTAACCAATTGATATTGGTAAAATTTTCAGAATATATTAATATAAGTGATGTAATGTAATCACAGTAATATGATTGGTTGAGTCAAGTTTCATACTACAGTTTGTTAATTGCTGTTGGACAAATTAAAGTTTTTAGTTAATATGTCAGTCCTCTTTGTGGAGAGAGCTTACCTGTCTTTAAGACTAATATATATACAGGGTGCAATGGATACGTTGTTGTCACACATCCACCAGTTCAGCAACTGAAAGTGGATTAGCTCCCTTGAATGATAATATTTTTGTTATCTATTGCTACATACCAGTGTTTCTCAATTCTAACAAAACTTTTAATGTTCCAAAAATTATGTACATAAAAAATTGGCTAACAGTTCCGGAATACTAGTAGAAAATTTTGTTTAAAGAAAAGACATTTCTTAATTTCTACAGCAAAGAAATAGAAAAGACAAGTCACATTGCCATAACTATCTTATATATATATATATATATATATATATATATATACAGAGTTTTTTTTTTGACCTCTGTGGGCTAACCCCTGCTTGAGGGGCTATACACATTCGGATACTTGCCGGTCACAGGGATCTGTCTTTGCACTGGTAGTATCACAGCTATGACTAGCTTAGACCAGCTCTGACCAGCTTGAACAAGCTATGACCAGTGGCCTGAGTGAAGACACTCAGGTCCCCACATTAAAAACTGACCTTGTGTTACAACCTGACTCAGTGGAAAGTCAAGTAAATCAACCCCCTGCTCCTGGGGAGTTTAACTTGGAATGCGGGGAGGAGAATATTTTGGTGTGGAGTGGATGCTGTTATGGCATCTGTTCCATGCTAAAACCTCTCCTCTCCTTCCCCATCTCCCCTGATTGGCTATGACCAGTTAAGACTGAAAATAGACCAGTGGCCTGAGTGGAAACACTCGAGTTTCATACATTAAAAATGACCTTGTATCACATCCTTGTTCCAGTGTGGGTTCCAAGGTAAATACCGACTCTCTTCCTCTGACCAGGGGCAAGTTGCTGATTCTGTCACCACAACAGATATTATTGTCTCTCTGACTGGAAGAGTTTCCTGAAGGAAGTAGAAGTTACTTCTGCCTTTTGGTGTCGCTGTCCTCTTTTCCTGTTTTGTTCATGTTTGCTTTCTTTCTCTCTTTTCACATCTTCCTTCTTGGAAAGATGCAGATACTACCTTTCCTTCTCTTCTCTGCTTACCCTCTCTTCCTTGGGAAGATGCA